CCGAACGACCGCCGCTTGTCGGCGAAGTTAGTGCCAACTTTAGCGGATAGAGGGTGTCGTGTGGTCAGCGCAACGAATCCCCACGGCCGCTAATTTCGGTTTTATAGACCGGAGCCGCTGTTTCCTTGAAATAGTTCCTCAATTATCCTCTCGAGGCTAATTGGGCCCCGTTCCAGACCCACTACTTTTCAGAAAATCTGGTTGAATTGAACCCGGACCTCTGGATCTGTAGCTAGGAACTCTGACCACTAGACCACAGAGGCGGTCTCACTGATAATGAAACCAAACTAGAAGTACTGGAAAGAAAAATATATGCCCCTATTAATGAGAATAACACATGACGAAATGGATATAATCATGAATTATACCAATTACCGTATTTACGCATGTATAGGCCGCACATTTTTTGCCAAAAATTCAAGAGGAAAACTGGGGTGCGGCTTATATTCGAAATATTCGAAATCACACTTCATTTAAAAAAAATTATATTCATAATTAGTAATACAGGGTGTTCTACTCCTGAAATAATATTCCAAGAAAATTATTTTTTCTATAATTTCTGTCTGAAAATTGTGCTGCGGCCTATACACGCACGCGGCCTATACATGCGTATATACGGTATATGATGAACCCGACATAATCAAAGTGGTGAAGGCAGGAAGACTGAGGTGGCTGGGGCACCTCTCTAGAAGAAACGAAACAAATCGATGCAAGAAACTAACATTGAGCAAGATTAAAGTATTAGAAGAGTAGGGAGACGCCCATAAAAAGGCGCCTTGATTGGTTTGGAAACACTGGAAGGGCATCAGTGGAGAGGCAACGTTGAGACCGTCAAGGCCTGCAACAGGCTGAAGGACCATTCATGATAATGTTGATGGTGATGATGATGATGGCACTATGGTGATAAATACTACAGAAACAAAACAACTAGAATGAGTCATTTGTGTACTGACCAGTATGCCGTCGTCACATACTAACTATACTACAGAGAACACTTTTACTTTGTGCACACCACAACCTCAGTGAAGGTTGCTTTCAGTACATCTCGCGTCATCACAAGTCGTAAAAAATTGTTCAGTTCCTTTTTCAGACGCAATATATCCACGCTTCCTACCATTAAAATACTGATAAAAAATTCGCAAATATATTCATGATTGTTGGCAGATTCATCAGATTTTGTTTTTAAATCGAAAACCCTTTTCTTTTTCGCGTGGTCGAGATGTTACTTTCTGTGGTGCCAGACAACGTTTGCATACGTTAAAAAATACTGTGACGTGTCGCCTATAAGCCGGACTATATGACGTCCATCGCTTCGCAACGGCTGCAATGGGAACCCATACTTTCTTGTCGCGTTACCTGGATACGTGACGAACTGCTGTCAGAAGTGTCCGGGGTTCCGTGACAAATGACGAATGGGCTGCGGATTTAAACGACGCTGGTTATTTGGAGAATCACTCATTTACACTCACAATTACAATTACTCTCAAAAAACGCCTTTTCATAAGACGTCTAGATGTGACCAATATTAACCGAATTACTTTTTTTTATAAGGAAAGAGGTTTATATTGCCTTTATCTTAATTATGTAATTATGTTGGACATTGCCCATTTTCTTAATTATGTTTAAAATACTACACGTTTTGGAAGCTACACCGCTTCCATCATGAGGTGTAATTTGGCGGAAAGGATGCCTTTCAGTCGGGTCTGCTAATAGTTATCTCTCATTTGTATCATTATGGATATGTGATCTTGTGAGGTTTGAACTGAAGCGCAACTTGATATCGGACTCTGAAATATAAAGTTCTTAAAAATTTATGCAACTTTGAATAAGCCTCAGAATTAATGGGTTTTTGGACTTTGCCCATCGTCCGGTATTCTAAAAACTAGAAAACAACGTTTCGGAAACTTCATCTGTTTCCTTCCTCAGGTTAGCGTCATAAAATATCATCAGAATCCTTTATAATCAAATTTTAATAGGTTAATTTTTGTCGTAAAATTGAAAACATCACGACAAAAATATTCTTGGCTTTCAACCCCATGTAATAGTAACTGGATCTAGGCATCTTAAGTATACTTAATATCTATCTCAATCAGGAGATAGATCTTAATATCGTAAATGTATCTACAATATTTATTTTATCAAAGAGTGATAAATCAATGCAAATTTGGGGTTATGTGACAAATATAACGTAAGCTGAATGAGCATATTTTGTTGGTGGAAATTATGCACAGAAAGGGGTCATAAAATTGTATCGTTAGCTTATTACTTCGCAGTTCCTTCTAGCCTTACTATTTCGAGCGAAAAAATTTAAGAAAAGTGGACATCGCAAGTGTCCCCCCTGAGAATTTCTACTGTTCTGTATCAATTCGAATTCGAGGCCAGACCAGAGCTAAATTGTGCGAGACATAGACCTGAGCTTTGTATCACTTTTGAACAAAGCCACACGAGTTTTAGAATGAAGAACTTAACCTTGAAACGTATTTTGCTAACATTACCAAGTGTATTTTTTGATTACGCACTGTGGTTTGACCATATCCGTGCTGTTATCAAAGCAGCATTATCTGCTTTTGGCTTATCAGTACTAGCTAAACTAACTAACTTCATGAACCTGAGCCATTTTTGAGAAGCCACCAGTTGTGCAGCTACTCATGAATATTATACGACAGGCTCCTGAAAGCACCACGGCGGGAAAGCGTATGAGGGGCTGCATGCATAGCTCTAGGCGTTTTTAGTTCGGTACAATACGGCGGTTAGTCGTATTCAGCTTCACTCCCCGTCCGCTTTACCTCCGGTGAACGAGTCTACCCTCTAGGAGGGCCATGTAGCCGGTCTGAACGCTGTGGAGAAAGAAAAATGTCTCTGTTGACACTCGAACCCAGATTTTTCAGTCGCTTTCACGAATAAGCAAGTTACCCCGGCTTCAATCTCGTCACAGAAGCTTTAATTCTAATAAATGGAGATAATACATGTTCGGCATTGAACAGCTCGGACGCTGGAACTATAGTTCTGAATCTGCGGGGTTCTGCCACACTGTGTAGTTACAGGCCTTGTGATTGGCGATTGGCTGACTTTCATCCAGTCTGATCGGATATCTTGGAACTACATACACGTGTACATATGTTTATTTATTTACACATACACATATACGGCTACTTTTAGCTAAACGATAGATGAATGTAAACTATGAGAAAAAAATGACGACCAATCGAATATATGGCGGCGGAAAATGCACAAGAATATGTAGGCCTATTTCACGTGCTGAATACCAAATCCCAATCACATTTTTCCGAATTTAATGTTTTGTTACATTATTATATTTTATAACCTTAAATGTCAAAACGTATTAATATCGAAAGGCTGGACAGTATGGTAGTGAAACACTGTATCTTACACTCATACAAGATATCCAAGGGAACTGAAGCCTATACACTGCTAGTCAGTATCATTAAGTCACACACTATTGCTTATGGCCATTAAATTTATTGATCTAAATTTTTACCTACTGTCTCCAAGGGAAAAGACCGTCTCTGTGGTATAGTGGTCAGAGTTCCTGGCTACAGATCCAGAGGTCCGGATTCGATTCCCAGCGCTACCAGATTTTCTGAGAAGTAGTGGGTCTAGAACGGGGTACGCTCAGCCTCGTGAGGTTAATTGAGGAGCTTTTTCAAGGAAATAGCGGATCTGGTCTAGAAAACCGAAATTAACGACCGTGGGGATTCGTTGCACTGACCACGCGATACCCTCTATCCTCTAAAGTTGGCACTAACTTCTCCGACAAGCGACGATCGCTCGGTCGGTATAATTCGTTTGGGGACTAAACCCATGGAGTTTTTTTTTTTTTTTAGTCTTCAAGGGATAAGCTAAATATATGGTGTTTTTTGAGGTGGCAGATATAGGGCGGACCCTCTCTTTCAGTTTATCTTTCAAACTGGAGGTCAAGAATTTGATTTTTATGGTCTCTAGCAATTGGCATGTCTAGTTTTGGTGGCACCACCAGTAGCTTCCGCCAACATTGCTCCCTATGTCATCCGAGCAGTTCCACGGCGGTACTGTCCTCCTCGGCATCATGCACAGTGGTATGCAGCTATATAACTGCTTTCTCCTTCAGAAATCAGGATTTTCACCACAGAGTTCATTACAGGTTTCATACGATTTTACAACGAACAGAGATTTCTTCCATAAGCAGTACTGACCAGTTGGTCTTTGTAATGGAGACGCTGTGTCTCTTCTAAGAGGCAAGAACCGAATTTTAAATATTATTTTGATGAATTTAATGCTTCAGAGGCTTATATAGCGAGCCGCTAATTGAGGCCATTTTAACAAACTAGATCTAATATCGAAGGAACCGGGTACACATATTTCAGACCGGATGAGAGACAGCAACTTCTCAACTTCGTTGTGACCCAGAGACCCTTGTTACAACTGACTATATCTATATCACGGGGGTTGCCAAGAATTTTCCTCGAGCCGGGGCAGTTAGTTTCCCTGGGGCTGTTTTCGTGTACTAATATAAGACGCGGATCTGTTTTCGACCAGAATGTGTCCCAGCATATGAAAGCACCATGTGATGATAGTTATTGATTTACTGTTTACGATATTTCATTGATAAAGTTACGCGTTCTGGCTTGGGCAGAGACGAAATATTGTTTCCTTTACACTAACATGAAATCAGAAAAGCGACTGATGATCTTTTGGACTCATAGTACCTTGACTTCAGTCCACCTTCAAAACAACTACGTAATCGAAACATTTCACTTCCTCATTTAATTTTGAGGACAAAGATGACGTCATATGTGAGGTAGAAGAGAAAGGGACGGAGAGACGTGCCGGACGTTTCATCCGATAAGACGTAAGCACATATGGGTAGGTATGTTTATACACAGTGACATTGATGTTATGACCACACGTCGGGTAGTAAGCGAATGGCCCAGCGAACCGTACAGTGGCTCGGCGTATCGAAAGGGTAGAAGGCATTCTGGGAGGGGGACGACATCAGGACTGGCAGCAGTTGCTCATAGCGCAGTGGTGTAGTTCAGTTCGCTCAGCAAGGATCAAATACAACCTTGTAACTGCTTCAGCTACGGAAGGGTGAGTCGTACTGTCATAAATGCATTTTGAATTTAAGTTATTCCAGAACTGAATATATTCTGTGACAGTGTTATGAGAACTTAATTTTCTGATACGTTCAACATAAAGTAGAACATGTAAGTACATGAATACTGAAGGCTTCAGTGAAAACTTGCCCGAGATATCGTCGTTTGTAATACGTCAATATAATTAAAACAGACATTTTGCCGTTCGCTGGATGTTTTCTGAAATTTCGTTTGCAGAAGATATGTAATCGGTCAGAACGAACATTATTATTTTGGGTAAATTTATCCAAATTTTTATAATTTGGAATTCCGCAGGTGGTGTATTCAATCGAGCTTTCTGCAGTTTTGAAACTCTTGTAGCTGCACTTGAGTTACGAGTTAACACGACAGCTCGATGTGTTTGTCTCTTCTAGAAATAGACCATTGTGGGTCAACAATTTGAAGGACGAAGCCCAACTTATTACCTACGAATTCAGTTTTTACACCCAAGGAAACCCATCGGTTTCCTTTACAAATATGAGACTTGGGAAACCTGTTATTTATTTGAGTATGAAACCTACCCAGAAACTGTGGACTCATGTCGAGTTATATTTGCCACTGCCCTGTGAGGAGTTAAACAATATCAAGAATTTGATATATTTATATATCCCTGTTACGCACTGGCACTGACATAATAAATGAGGCTTCTTCGCTTTAACTGCTTTTATGTGCAAAAATATATGTTCAGTATTTATTACATTGTTTAAAAATAAGCATTCCAATCTGTTTTCATAACTTTGAGGATGACGTTCGCTTTCCTTGTCACATTTAAGTGGAAAATATTCCATTAACTACTGAGGTCAAAAGATTTACATTCTTCTGTTCCGCATTGCTTGTAAACGTACGAGCTCTGTTGCTGGGACTCTAGGAGAATTACTTTTGTCAATGCAGGTAATGATCAGCGATTTGTGGCTTAGCGTAACATCTGTTTATCCACATGCTTAAGGGTTAATCATTCAGTGGAAGGAAAGACTTCGTTAAACAGGCGTAGGAATAAATGTATTCAAAACGGCAGTACTTTGACCGTGCAAAAGTAGCATAAGCAGTAGTCCAATAATTGTGAACTGGAATTAAGCAAGGAAGTGAAAGAAAAAGTTAGCAATCTTGATGATCAAAATTGGCGACGGTATGATTGTGTACGATGATATGGAGTTGCAAGGAGAGTTCTGCTCGGTCAGTTCCGCAAGAAAGCACTCTGTTACACAATGCACATCTTGACAACACTTTTAGACTTATGTTTACAACTGAGTTGATTTTGTAACCTATGTATTCATAGGTTTCATTATATTCTTGAGTTCAAACAGCAGTTTTTTTATTCTCTTAATGGAGTTTGTAAAAAATTAATTACGCGTTTATTACTCTGAAGTCAGGATAGAATTAATTTCGCGTAGTGAGCATAATTAACCCTTAATTTATGGACAGGTCAGGATTATGTAATCAGAAGAATTCATTCTCTGTTATAGAATATCTTAACAGATTTTGACAGAATTGTCAAAGTTTGGGATAATCGATACTAGTCCGTTTCCAGTCACACTGCGTCTGTGTTCATCGGTCTCTATTCGCTTCAACGGAGCTATTTTAAAAAAGTTTTAGACATCAAAGATTTAATAATTAAACGGTTGCTAGTGAAGTAAAAAAAAAATATTTTTGGCAAGTTTGACGAAGTGCCATCTTCAAATTTGCTGTGTAGGATGCAAGCACACAGCTTCAAAAAAGCAGGACTGTGGTCCTGAACGAAAAGACCGCAATGTGATAGTTACAAGTGATCCTAAAGGGTTCTGACGATGGTGCATAACACTCTGAATTGCTGGGAGTTTGAACTTCGTCAATCGTCAGGTATTCCATAAAACACAGTTTCGGAAATTGGATCTATTTCCTTCCTCACCTGAGGTCATGGGACACACCTACACTCTTAGGTCCTTTAGAGCTAACCTCTATTACGGGATGATTGAGGTTAGCTCTTTAGAATATCGGACAATGGTTAAGATAACTAAAGCTATCCGTGTAACAGGCCGTGGAGGTCCATAGTGTTATGAGATGTCGAGGATCATACATTTTTTAGAAAATCAGCTCACAGATGGCGGTGAGATTGTCAGCCTTACGCGTCGGCCGCCCTTTACCCTCAGGAAGATTCCTGGTACTCATTTCTGTCAGAGGCTGAGTCGACCCCAGGGCCAATAGTGTGGCTGGAAGGATTAGGTCAATTGAAAGAATCCAATGATCTCATCGGGAGTCGAATCCTGGACCTTCCGGCTTGTAGCATAGAGGCTCAACCGACTACGCTACCCGCGTGTGGCATATCGGACGATGGACAAGTCCAAAAACTCTGCATTCCCGAGAGTTGTGTCTTTTGAGGTACGTGATTCTGATGATTGGCCGAAGGAATATTGGTGGAGTTTGAAGTTATTTACTGAACTTTTTTCCAGAAATCTATCCTTCGTGAATTTTAGCCAACATCATTGTGTTGTGGTAGGACAGAGTTTTGGCTGCCGTCACTGATGGTTTCGTCTAATAAATCAACTCTTCATCAGATCATTTGCATTTAGCAGATACTAAAACAATCGATGAATACTGCGGCCGACTGAGTAGCACTCTTGCTTCCCATTCGGAAGGTCCTGGTTTCGGGTCTTGTCCCGGTGACCAACTGCGCTGACTGAGGTTTCCTTCAGCTTATGCTGTTAAATGCTGGCATGACACTTTAATGAAGACCACTGTCAACTGCTTTCACGTCTGTCAGATTCATTAGGCATAACTCACTAATGATTCCGTGCTATGAAGAAAGCAGTCTTCTGGGATGTGGCGCCGTGTAGATGTGGTGTTAACCGACTTTTCGGAGGAACGTATCGCCTTCATATTCAGGGTAGAAGGAAAAATAAGAAAATCCGCGGATTTTCTTATTTTTCCTTCTACCCTGAAAATGGAGGCGATACGTTCCTCCGAAAAGTCGGTTAACACCACATCTACACGGCGCCACATCCCAGAAGACTGCTTTCTTCATAGCACGGAATCANAAATCTTACATTCTGTGCTATGTTTTCTGAACTGTCAAGCATTACCTAAACTGAAAATAAACTATTTAAGCACTCCTTTGATGTATAAATTAAAAGCTAACGATTCACGCAGAAGTACTTAATAAAATTTTAGTTGAATTCAGAATAACCACGCAACCCATTAGTTTCTGAATTACAGTTATGAGAGATAAACATTAATCAGCGCATTTATAGTTTATATGAAATGAAAAGGGCAATTCTTTGTCACCACTCCGTTGGAGATATGTCCAGGTCGGCCTGGTGCTAAATGTTCACAAGACGTAGGTGTTAGTCACCTTAATTTCATGTCCATTTTCCACAACTTTTTTTATTGATAGTGGTGTAGGGATAAGTTCCTTGTACTGCGGCCACTTCTGGCCTATTGTACCAGCCCCAGATGATAGCTGAGGGTGATTGTGGAGCAATTGGTGGAATGAAGATTGGCGGGGGAAACCGAAGTACTCGGAGAAAACCTTCCCCAGCGCCACTTTGTCCACCACAAATTCCACTTGACCATACCCGGGATCGAACCCGGGCCGCCGCGTTGGGAAGCCAGCGACTAACCGCTTGAGCTTCCATAGCTTAGGTCGTTTATCAAAGAATCTGTCCAAGGCCGAGGTCCTGTAGAACATTTCATAACAAAATTATCATTTTTACGGCGAAGAGTGAAGAAATTGATATAGAAATAAATATACACAATGCAAAATATTGTTTGTATGTATGTGCCTACGTACTGTACTCATATATACTATATTCATAGTGTCTCATTATGACATGCCATATTTTGCAGGCGGACTATGAACATCAAAATAAATAAAAAAGATGCATGTTAATTTGTATACCGAGGGCGTTGCATAAAGAACTGTGTCCAGTGGGAAATGTAGCGGCTGCCTTCACATTGTGAAAAACAGATGTCTAGAGAGCGTTTTGTTTGTGTCGCGTGCTGACCGTTGAGATCCATTTGACGCCTCATAGGGCTTCTCATTTTACTTACACGAGTTAATGACCGCCATTATCTTAATTTTTATCGAACAAATATAAATGAATTTTTGGAAGTTATGTTCTTCAGCACGCGTCGTCACGTGTGGTTTCAGCACGACGGTGCTACACCATATTTCGGTCCTGAAGGGGCGTCAATGGCTGTCCGAAAATTGTCCTGGACTTTGGTTTGGTCACCGACGTGAAGCCTCAGTATCGCGGCCCCCAAGCTCACCTGACTTAAACCCTCTCGCTTTCTTGCCGTGGGGAAGTTTGGGAACCAAAATCTGTAGCAATGAGTTTGATACCGCAAAGGAGCCGTGGCTTCGAATTCAGCAATGTATGGGAGAAACAAAGGGTACATCGGGAATCTTCGAACGTTCGCGTGTTTCTTGTTTACGCAGAGGTGAATTGTGTGTCCATGAAAATGGAGGTCATTTGGAGCACCTCTTACAATGAAGTAAGAATAAAAGGGTATTAATGGATTTTATATTTGTTTTCTTATTACACACAACCCGCTAAACTTTTGGGGAATATAGGGCGCGACCGTGGAGATTGAAATAATATTAGCTGCACGTTTTAAGGAAGGCCATCAGTGTACTTATTCATATGAGCTTCCTTATTTTAGTGTCCAGAAGCCAGCCTGTAAAATACGATATGTAATAAAAGGACGCCTTGTATAATAAGCCTATGCGTAAAAGGCATATAATACTATGTATAAGCTTACAAAGTGTCACGTGTATGAGTGACTATATAAGTGGTTTTGATTGGTAATCAGATTCATTGACCACTTCAATACACAACTCGTGACTACACATTACAAATCACTGTCATACAGGCTAGTGTTCTGTCTGTTAGTCTCCACTCGCCGTTGTCTGGTAACGGCTTCCAACGACGGACGTTCCCCTTACTCTGGTTTCCCGAACTATCCCCGTGCCTCAGATACCAG